TACGTATCCCGCCGCATTTTATGAAGGGCAAATACCCGAAAAGCATCAAGAAGCCGAAGGCCCCGAGAAGCTGGAAATCCTTATCCCGGTGCATTTTCTGAAGGGCAACTACCTGGAAAGGCACCGAGAAGCTGGAAATCCTTATCCCGGTGCATTTTATGAAAGGCAAATACATGGAAAGGCACCGGGAAGCTGGCAATCCTTATCCTGATGCATTTTCTGAAGGGCAACTACCTGGAAAGGCCCCAAGAAGCTGGAAATCCTTATCCCGGGTGCATTTTTATGAAGGGCAACTCCTGGAAAGGTCCCGAGAAGCGGGAAATCCTTATCCCGGTGGATTTTACGAAGAGCACTGACCTGGAAAGGCACAGGGAAGCTGGAGATCCTTATCCCAGTGCATTTGATGAAGGGAATCCTAATCCCTAAACCCTGCATGTAGGGACCATGTTCAACAACTCCCAGAACGTGGCCTCACCCTAAACCCTAAAATCTTCCCAGACACCCAAAGGGGATCTGAAACTTAGATTGCCTAGAAGCATCTGGGGAATTATATATAGATCTTACAGGTGATTTCGAGCTTTAAAGCGGATCAAATGTTTAGATCATCTCGCGGGTCTGAGTTCTAGTCCCCGTTAAGTAGAAAGAAAATGGCTTTGGGTATATTATAATAGGATGCCCATATACCCCAAATTCTATCTACTTAAGGGGGACCCTAAACCCTAAACCCGAAATCCTAAACCCTTCTACTTAAGTCGGGACTACAAGCCCCTCTTCAACATTGCTCATCGAAGACCAACCCTAAGGCTTACAAGTTAGAATGTTGACCTAGGGTAAACAGAATCAAAGAGCACTCTAAAAGGAGCCCTAGGAGGGTGAGTGCTCTTTGATTTCTTGGGCTTAACTCCCTATTATGGTCATAAAATCCTAACCTGCCGACGCTAGGGCTCGCGCAGATGTCTGTGACCAGACCGCAGCAATAGACGTCAGTGACGTTCTCCTTTTCCTTAGCATATGCGCCTTAAAGGGGTTCATAGGGGATTATATAGTGTTTAGGGTTTGGGATTTAGGGTTTTAGTTTTTAGGATTTAGGATTCGGAGTTTAGGATATAGAGATTAGGATTTAGGATCTAGTGTTTAGAGTTTAGGGTTTGGGGTCTAGACTCCTTAAAGGGGGATATAGGGGATTGTACAGGGGACAATTATGGGGCTTATGAAGGGGGATGATAGGAGTTTAGACTACAGTTGAGGCATGTGTCAGGCAAAATTACATGAGGTAAAGCGCAGTCAGGTATCCGGCAGCTTTGGAGTTATCTGAAGGTTTCCCAAAAAGCGGGGGTGCCTTTTTGGGTGTCCCTATAATCCGGGCTAGAATGTATGGAGGTCTATACTGGGGTCCCTCCTATTCAAGGAAGCTGCCATCTTGAGCTGCAACGCCAGCTTTCGGACAATACTGTAGCTTCTACTTGCTAGGTTTGGTTCACCTTGGATCCATGTGATCCTCGTTTCCCGGCTTTATATCTGAAATGGATCACTTATTGGGTCTGCAACCCCAACATCTCTTCTTCGCAGACAGGGATTTGGAGGGCACACGGAGGTCTCAAAGTAGTATAGCTACAGTTGGAGCGAATGGTAACTGTTCTAGTAATTGTTGCCCTGCTTCTAACTACCCCATGCAGGTCTATAAATGACACGTACCTTGAGCCCTAAAATCTATGAATAATACCTACTTGGGGTTATCTATCTAGATGCCTAGGCTACTGAGCAGACTCTGGATTTCCCAAACCCTAAACCCCGTAAACCCTAGGCCCTACACCCCTAAACCCTGAACGTAAACCAAATACCTCAGGGTCAAGATGCCAGCATGGCTGTGAGGCCCGTATCGTTGGCCTTCATGTTGTCAAAGAATGCCTCCGTATCTTTGCGGCTTTACGCTTGAAGGACAGTTTAGGGTTTCGGGAGAATCCCTCCGTATCTTTCGGGTTTTACGTCTGAAGGCTTAGTACCTGGTACCTTTATGGATGCTGGGGCTCATAGCTAGATGTGAGAAGCATAAGCCACCCAAAACCCTAAGCCCTAAACTTATCATACGAGGCTTCTAGGGATTCTCTGAGGGATCGTAGGGGCCGGCTGTTGTTCGAAGCTTCGATTTGGACATGTTTCGAATATGTTCCGATAAGCATGGCTTTCAGATTGCAGACTTTTGGGTCATCGGAACAATGGTCATAGAGGTAGCCAAAATCCCAGAACCTTTCCGGGTTCAACAAACACAGGTTGTGAAGAGGTTGTATGAACCCTCCAAAGGGTTTTACAAACCCCATATTATAGTCCCCCTTAAGTAGATAGAATATGGGGTATATGAGGATCTTATTGTAAAATTCCCAATGAGATATTCTATCTACTGAAGGGGGACTATAAGTGTTCAGTGGAGAGAACATGTTGATCCAAAAATACGGACCCCAATAGAGACCCAACATACTGTATTCCTTACTATAGGAACCGCCAAGAAGGGACCCCTAAACCCGAAACCCTTAACCTTAAACCCTTAACCCTTAACCTAAAACCCTAAACCCTGATTTTGGGAACCCCCCAAGGTTACTTTTCGAACCTCCACAAACCTCGCAAGCCCTCCCCCCTCCCCATTCCGCAACATTTCCAAACATGTTGGTGGTAGGTTTAGGGTTTAGGGTATTTAGGGCCCTGGCGTGAACCGGTGTGCCCAGAATGACGTGTACGCACATGTTTTGCCAATTTCTTAGCAATACTTCAGGACTTTGCGCCTACAGCATCATATGCTCCATTAGGAGGACCCCCCCTGTAAAAAGCGGCATAGTAGGACTTCAAGAGGACCCTTGTATAATGACCGTTATCCGTTTTAGGCACTATTACTGGGTGTGGGGGGCCCACCCTAAACCCTAAACCCTCAACGCTAAACCGTAAAGCATCTGCTCCAGGGAGCCGAGGCCATCTCCACCCTAGGCCCGCAAAACCCAAATCCCTAAACCCTAAACCTTAAATCCCCCACCCCCCCCCAAGCCCTAAATCCTTAAGTCCAAAAACTACAGTGACGTGCAGCTGAGGGGCAGAATAGGAGTCCTCAGCATACCACAAGATTTGCAAAACTCAGGCTAAGCCGTGGGGAAACAGGCTGTAGGGCTGAGGATTTAGGGTTTGGAAGGATTTACCACCTATAAGGCCAAAGTAAACCTAGGCAGGGTGACGAACAGCGTAATTTCACATGTGCCTGAAAGGTTGCAGCGCAAGATCTCACATCGAAAGTTGGTGTTTAGTAAGGAACGCAGAACGGATGTCTACAGTAGAGTACATCCTGTACACACATTATATATATATATATATAGAGAGAGAGAGAGATGTGTGTGCATCTGCGTGCATGTCTAAATAGTCCTTCCTAGCCATTCCTACTCTAAACTATAATCTCCGAACACTACGGTGGATACCAAAAATCCTGCATGACCCAAAGTACCGTAAACCTTGGGAATTATGGCAATATGGTATAGTAAGGTCCTGCAGGATGTTTAATATCAACAGTAGTCGGCATTTTGTTCTCCACTCCCTGCTAAGCAGAAGGCTTCATGCTGACTGTCAACCTGTGTCGCTAGGCAACAATCCGTCTTGCTAGGGTTTAGTTGATGGTTTAGGCCTCAGATTAGGGTTCAGAGGCTTCAGGATTTAGGCGGGAAGGCTTAAAAAGCTTCAGGGTTTACAAGGCAAAGACTTCAGGGCTTATGGTGAGGGCTTCACTTTCTCAAAAGTAAACCCTGTCCCGATAGGGTCTAGGGTTAAGGTTTCAGGGTTCAGGTTGAGGTTTTAGGGTTGAGGGTTAATCTCCTCTCCCTAACATTAACCACCCACCCCCCCCCCCTCCCCCCCCCAAAAAAAATGATATAATGGAAGCATTCAATATTAGGGGGTGGCGGGTGGGATTTAATACTAGGGAGAGGGAATTAGTTCTGAGCAGATACATGGGAATTTCGTATGGAAGGATGATATGGAGCCTACTCGGGGGATTATACGTATTTGGGACTCTTAGAAGGATTGTATATGGAACTATGCAAGGATGATCTGGCGTGGAATGCAGGGATTCCGTCGCCCTTTCCCAACATTAAACCCTAAGGGTCCAAGGACGCAAATAATAGGGCTTGGGCCCAAATTCCATGAATATCATAATCTTTGGGCCCTAAAACCCTATTATTTGGGTCCTATATACCCCTATATAGTCCCTATATCTCCCTATATATGTCCCCCGGAGTCCCTTTAAAGGGACCCTATTACTTGGTTCCTTGGACCCTTGAGGAAAAAGCATAAGCAAGACAACCAAAGCTCCTAACCCCTCACCAGAGTGGTGAGATGGATCCCTGTAGCATTGTCCACCAAATCCTGTATCTACCCAAGGCCTCCAACGTAGTTCCTTTTTGGGTTTGTTATGGTTTTTGGGGTAAGGGATTCTAATATACTACCCAAAAAGGAACTACATAGGAGGGTCTGGGTATATACACTTTTTTTCGCATCTGCCAACCTTCCCTGAATCACCCGTAAGTCCCGGAATGCAGATGTAATGCCACCTGCTACGAATTTGTTGAGGATCCCCACTTGCAGGGTTTTAGGGTTTGGGGCTTTGGGTTTTCAGCCTGAAAAAGCAGGGATGGCCAGAGGTGTGTAACCCTTATGAAACCTCCATGCTGTAATGGGCGATCATGGGTTATATAGGGTTTGGGTTCTGGGGATAATGGAAAAATGCTAACTACCATATTCTAGGGGGATTTAGGGGTATATCCATGAGCCTCCAGGTACGAGAGACCAACCTCCAAAAATCCAGACTTTTTGCGGACTCCGCGCGGGTGCCTCGACGCCAATCACGTCGGTTGAAACTGTCGGCGCCGTGCTTTGCAAGATGCCGATCTACCAGGCAGAGGGTTACCTGGCCTCCCATTGACCTACGCTGAAAACCCGTGCACTTGAAACACCGCTGCCCATGCAGAGGGTCACTTCCCAAACCGCCGCTGCCTATTCTGAAATGCGGTAGCAACGTCCAGCAGGTCCTGCTGTGTCACCTCTGGCCAATGCTTGTCCAAGAAGAAGAGTTCGGCGTACGCCAGCTGGAACATTACGAAGTTGCTCAGCCGTTGCTCGCCCGAAGTCCTAATGAGTACCTGGGTTCCCCAGTAACCCATGAATAAGAAGGGTACCCAAAATAAAAAGGGCAAAAGGGTACTACTGGGCCCTAAACCCTAAACCCTAAACCCTTAACCCTAAACCCTAAACCCTAAACCCTGAACCCTAAACCCTTACTGGGGTACCTAGGTACATCTGGATCTGGGACATCGCCCGTCAGCAGTTGCCGCCTTACCAGGGCATCGTCGATGGCCTCCGGCTCCAGTTCACCGCGCTGCACCTCAGGGTTTAGGGGTTTAGGG